GAGGGCCGCGACCCAGTCTTTGTGAAATGAAGTTTTAGAGGAAACTTCTAGGGTTCACTCACACTAGGGCTGTTGTACCCAAGCACATTTGCCCCCTTTAGTCCAGATTATTTGAAGTTTTAGAGGAAACTTCTTAGGGTTCTGTTGTACCCAAACACATTTGCCCCCTTTAGTCCAGATTATATTCTGCATGCGAGCTGGCATGATTGTGTAGTAATATTTGCATTGGTTATTTATATAAAATGATGCAGTCAGTATTTAAATGTCACTTTTACAGGAGGGATGAAGATCACGTACGGCCTCAACCTCAATTTGCCCTGTGTTGTCGATGGCTGGCCACGGGCTTCAATCACCTGGACTCTGCCCAACGGTCTTGTTTTGGACAAGCCTCAAGCCATCGGCCGGGTGTCTTTTCTGACCAACGGGACGCTCCAGCTAAGGCAGGTGGCAACCTTCGACAAGGGAACCTACATCTGTAAAGCGTTGAACTCCTTCGGCTCTTCGACGCTGTCCTACCCGGTTGAAGTGATGGTTTTCCCGCCGCGGATCATCAGCACGATGAGCGCCATTACGAGAGTGAACCGGGGATCACCGGTGACACTGAAGTGCGTCGCTACCGGTATTCCCAAGCCAGATATTTCGTGGACATTGCCCGGACGCACGACGCTGGTTCCGCATCACTGGTTCACGGTGCAGGGAGGGATCCACATGACGGAAGAGAGCGGTCTGGTGATCCAGAACCCTGTGCTGACAAACTCTGGCATTTACAAATGCAACGCAAAAAATGCACTCGGCACAGACTTCAAATCTACGTATTTACAAGTAGTCTGAGTGACGACTGGGGGTTTCTTCTGTGACGGAACGATTACCACAGATACAAGACTGTACGACTGTATTTTTCCAACCGGGATCATAATAAAAAAATTGTACCTAACACTTTGGAAGAAGACTTCACACTGCCCTGCACTAAAGGTGGTCCAAAATGACCTTTGGAGCAGATGGTGCAGTGACTTTGACGTCATCGTGGGCACAGATCGTGTGTCGCTCTCTGCTTCAGTGCGCGGTGGAAACACGATATTAAGAATTCATTATAATTAACACCAAGTACCTTCAATGCTGAATTGTGTGACATCTCCGGGGGGGTTGGAGGATGAAGAGGAGGGGCGGGGTTTGTGACGATACCGAAGCTCTAAACAATGTCCAAAATGGAAGATTTTATAACTTATTATCTGTGATATAATATTCATTCTAAACCTGTGTGACCTCCCGTCTCACATTGAATTTAACCAGAGACATGGCTCGCGGTCCATGTAACTGTATATCAGTGGAGACGATGTTTAATTTCGTATCCTACAATGAATTCACCGCAGACATAATCTGTACTTTACAAACCCGTGGAACCACAGGTTTGGTCGGTGTGGATTGATTGGAGTGACACGTCCTTCTGTGGAATAAACTGGAATCTTTTGCGAGGTTGAACCAGTAGTTCTTTATCTTAGTATCTATGTTGGTGTCG